CAGTAATTTCTTCTACCCTTATTAGATTTTAACCTATCAAGAGTGATCCATTGGCTCAGTTGCATTAGTGATTCCTGCATCTTGACTATCCATCTCCTCAAGCTCCTCAACAGAATTTCCCTTTTGTGCTTTAGACCTTGCAGGGAATGTTGTTCCCACAGAATTCACCATGTTACCATCAGTTGATTCAGTATTCAAGTGTTCAGTACCACCTGGTGCAGAAAACGATTCAGGTAAGGCAGCTTGAAAGCTCCCAGTTTTAGCAGTTGAACTCACTGCCTCTACTTTTCTTTGAGATACATCAACTGATGCTGACTGCTCTGTATTCTGATCCCGCAAATGTCTATCCATTGAAGCCTGAATAGAAGAGACCATTTCCTGCAACTTTTTTCTCTGTGCCTCAATCAAAGTGGGGTCAAGCTGCCTGCTGTCTCTCATTGTCACAACTCCCGGAGCAATTCGAATAAGCTCACTGTTACCAGATGCAGCTGTGAATACAGAAGGCTCAATTTTAGCAGAAGGACTGAAGTCGGTCTCTGTGCTATGCTTTCTTAAAAGTGGTGTTTCCCTGGCTCTTTGATCATGTTGTTGACTACTAGATGCAGTTCCTAGGGAATGACCCTTTCCTTGAAATGCAGTTATGTTATGTAGTTGTTCAGATTTCTTTTTCACCACTCCACCACTACCCAGCTTCAGCATTCCATGTGAAGGACTTGCTTCTCTGCTTCTTGAAGTAGCTTCTGCTCGCACTTGACTTAAGGCCTCTTTAACCAGCTCTTCAACATCAGGACCGATTGGGAAGTGCCCAGCAGCATCCACACACAGCTCTAATCTGTCTTCTGCTGCATTGTACACAAAGTTTTTACCAGGCAGATGTGGAAAAGTGCAGTGCTTGCCATCAGCCAAACCTATGAAGACAGAAAAAGTTATTCAAAACACTAACATGTTTTAAAGCATGCTCTGAACACACCGTAATAGTAACTAATGTATTTAAATTTACTGAATCAAGTATGTAAAATCAAGCACACTGAAAGTTTCTACTGTGGGAGAAAAAATTTAGGCTTTTATGCCATACGATAGTAACTACAGTATGCTGCAAAGATTCTACTGCCTTCTGTGATGACTCTGATGAAGAGACAATACTGTAATATTACAAGATAAAATAACCACCTCGCTATGACTTGTAGTTCTATGCTTCCAGTAATGTAAAACAAGCCAAATCCCATCACTACCACCACCCCACACCCTCCAAAACCACACAAAACTAAATCAGCAAAAATCAAAAACTGACAATGAGCACATTTCAAAACACTATCTGGAGAGAAATACTATTTAGAACTGTACTAGAACAGAACTGTATATACTAGTTAGAACTGTAGCAGAATTTCAGGTTGCGTAACTGCTGCTAAGCCTGAAGAATTTCAAATTCACTGTTTTGTCTTCTCAGAGAGGAAGTGTTGCTAGATAAACAGAAGTATTTCAAGCTTATTATATTTAGTAGTCCTGGAGATTATAACTATTAGCCTTTACAAAACAAACATAAGGCATAATATTTTTGATCTGCTGTTCATTTCATTGTCCCACTTATCTGTTTGACCAATCTGTTAAAACTGAGAGTTCACGAAAAGATTTTAAGTTCTGAAACTTCTGTGTCAAAAATGGACAACATTTTTTACAGTTTTTAACACAAAATAACCCTTTCAATTCTGTCCCATGCAGGCTGCAGCAAAAGCAGTAAGGTATCACTTCAATGATGGTGGCTTTCAGTGAGTTAAAAGCTATTTGCAGATGAAAACTTGGCTGCAACCATTCTCTTCACTTTAGTTCCATCAACTATGCATGGAGAGCTACAATGAAAACAACACTGTTTAAAAGGTGCCAGGAATAGGTAGAATACTGGGATTTTCCTCACATTCTCAAAATTCTTGAAGAAAACCACCAGAAATTATTCAGAAGGGAAAAAACATAACAAGCAAATACTATGTTATCAAATACCATGCTTTCAAAATGAGTATTCTGGGCATCAATGAAAAAGATCATTCAATAATTTGATAAATTACACTGTTTTCATATTAATGAACTGATTGACCAATCTCACTCATCCTCCACAGCTTCTGATTCACATGTGCACAATTACATAGAATCTACAAATAAGATTTGATTCTGAGAGCTTCAGACATGTAGCTCCTTTCTTTACATATCCATGGGAGCCAATAACCAAACAGACAAAACACAAGACAAAATTCAACCTCAAACCTTCAAACTTAGCCTGAAGCACATATTTTAAGTACATATCAACTCTCATTTGCAAAAGAGGGAACTGTAATAATTCCTATGACTGAATAAAACTGGCTCTGAAACTGCAATCCCAAAATCTCAAAGTAAAATCTTAAACAAGATCTATTAAATCAAACTTAAATTGATTAACAGTACCTACACTCCACAGAAAGCTTTGTTCCAAAGGTCCAGTATAGTAGTGCATAATTACATTACCTAAAAGATTACAAATAGGTAAAGAGCTTCTCATAGTGGAAAGATGAGTCAGACTGCTGCACACTGGAACTGTAAAAGCGTGTAAACACTGAAATAGTAATTACATCTACCAAGACAGTCAGTATTTGAAATTAGTGCACTTCTTTGTATGCAGGTGGTTTACACTATCATCTCCCATAGCCTATTTCTTACACAGTCAGTTGGGAAAATGGCTTTTTAGCCAGACATTTTCTGTGAGTTTGGTTAAAAGTCCTTGGATTCATTTCAGGTTTTCAAGTCTGGCTAGCCATTAATTGGTCAAAAATGCTCTTTCCATCAGGCACGGTTTAAGCTGATACACTAGACACAAACAATATGCCAGTCTTTACTGTACAAGCACAGTAAAAGAAGGAAAACTAGAAGGAAACACATCTCCTATAAAACACTTACATGCTAACTCTATCACGCAGGCTAGTAATTCAATGAGAGGTAGTGGGCATTGAGTATGCCACACATTTTAATAAACTTCCAGAAACAACTAAGATAAAGTTATGTTTGATAAAACTGCCTAAGAAAAAATCAAACAGCAAGAAAGCAGCAAAGGAACGATTATAATACATGAAACCACAAGAGCTAAACTATGAATGCAAAGATTTCATCAAGAAATTGATGAAATTTCTTTGAGAGAAAATAACTCCTCAGTACTTTCTTCTCTAATGAAACAGTTGTTATTCTTCACAGGCAGTATTTGTAAAGCCACCTAAAAATCAAATGTATTTTACTTGTTTGGTTATTCTGCACAAAGCCCAAGATGCGACATTCAGTAACACAGGAAGGGGATGGAGAGCTTTGCTTTTGAACAATAATCTTAGGAATATGAAAAAAATTAACCAACTGTTTAAATGTAAAACATGCACTATCCTGTAAAAATATCAACTAAGAAGCACACTAGAAAGATCTCTCTTTATCCAGTAAGTGTTTTAAACTATAACAGGAATAGGTCCTGTGATTTTTTTGTTGTTTGATCTTTACAGGAGAAAAAAATTAAGAAAACAAAAAATCAGTTGACTTTTTTTGGTCATATTCTCATTTAAAAAGAAGAAAAGAAGCAGTTGTTTGTACAATTCGGGAAGCAGAAAATTCAGAAAATAAGGTTTACACGCAGTGTAGTAGGTTTAGGCAGATTCCCTAGTTCTAGTCTGTCTGAGGGAGCATTAGGAGCTCTCCAATATTGTAAGAATGAAAATTTACCATAGTAATAGAATTAAAAATATATATTTATGCTTCCAAGTGACTCAATACTAATTTACAATTTTCAGGATTTGAAAACAGAGGACGGAAGGAATAAAAACAAAACTAAAAAAATACCTGTTGTTTTCTTCATTATGCTGTAGAATACTCCACCCTGCTGAAACAACTGAGGAAGCCCCTTCGCATACGACCAAACATCTTCTCCTGCAAAAATTAAACATGATCATTAAAATTAAACAGTTGCACCTTTATATTACAGACAACGGCTGAAAATGTAACTCCTTAAATCAAAAGCTGAGTCCCCACTCTCTTCTATGCTATTAAGAATTTGAATTTTTATTGAAAATGCAGAGAACAGAAGTCCAGGACATTAAGAAACTTTCAGAAAAACATACCACTGTCTGCAGTCCAGTATCCTACATGTTTCTGTATAAAGGTTCCCAAATTTGATTTGATCCCATGTGCAGCTCGTGGTACTTTGCCAGGCCCTAAACACGAGTCTCCATTCCCTTCCTACCTCTGCTTTCAATGTTAAACTAGGAAATTACTAACACCCTTCCAAAATTCAAGCACATATTTTCACTCATTCAAACTTGAATTCTGTATCTCTACACCTTCTCAAAAATCAGAGCTCAATTTCACAGCTGCCACACTGAAGACTTAATACTGCAGCTGAGACACAAACATCCACCCAGGCAGCTGCACAGAAGGTCTGTCCGTACCTTGCTTTTCTTGAGAGTTAGAAACAAAATACCAACCAAGAGGCCCCAGCAGTCCTGTATAACCAGCATTTTTCAACAATGGCAAAAATGGCATTGAAATGTGACAACTTTAAATGCCATGGAGAGAAAAAAAAACCCAACCTAGACTACACAAGGAAAGAAATATAAAGAACAGAAAAATTGCATTACAATGATGGAATATCAGTGACCTAACAGCACCTGTTCAATTAGTTCAGCTCCACATTTTGCCTACACCCTTTTCCTTATTTTGCTAACCACTTACCTGCTTCAGAGAAGTGACGTGCTTAGCTGTCTAAGCAGTGCAAACAGAAAGTACTGATAAATTCCATTCTCCTGATGCAGAAATAACTACTGCGCATACACATTTTCTGAAAAAAAGTGGTTTTCCCGCTTTCAAGGAAACATTCAACTCATATTGAGTTATTTCAGATAGAAATTGCCCCTTCCTGCAGGGATTGAAATCTCAATAATCACATGTCTCAAATATCTATTAAGATTGGAGAATATAAATCTTCTACTATAGTTAACTGGATGCACTAATCACTTGGATAGAGATAACTGGAATGTGTGAGGCTTTATAATATTACACACCAATATGTCTTTACTTCCTGTTATAAGGAAAATGAAAGAGCTATTTTTAATAGCTTCTACCTACTGAATATACGGCACATCTAAATCCCTCCTTGCATTTCTTTACTGCATATTGCACAAGGTAACTGTGACTATTCTCCTGTTCCACTCAGGCACATGAGACACAGGACTTCTTAGGCTCCCCTGCTTGTCTGTTTCCTCACAATTGCCACTCACCTCTCCACCTCAGGCATTACTCAAGTCCCCATTCTCTTTCCAGAGGTACAGTGCACATTCACCACATTCTGTCTTTAGACATTTTAAAGACAGGAGACCTGCATAATCTGATTAATTTTGAAAGCATTCCCTCACACCATATAGGCTCAAGTTCATTGCATTCATTTGCACATCAAGCTCATAAATCTGGCTTTCACTTCCAAAAAGAACATCCAAGTAACAAGCCAACTACTCTTCTTACTAATTTTCCATTATCCACTGAAGGAGGTCTTCAGTCACTGCTACCTGTATCCTTATTCTTATTTACGACCTGAAATGCACATCCCTATACACAATGGCTCCAGAGCATCACTTCTGTGCCTCTTCCAAATCTTCTTGATGGTTTAAACACTGCCCACCGGAATCAACATAACCACTGCACTGAGAAATAACACAATACAGCTGTCAATCCACCAAAGCCTGAAGAGGCCACAGCCAGCAGGACTCCATACTAAGGACTCCTTTATTGCTTCAAGCAGTCCATGATTATTTGAAGGGCTCCTTTTCATTTCACAAAACAACCACTGGACTTTTAGAAGAAGCCCAGTTTTAGACATTACTGACATTTTCCAAGGAAAGATCTCCTATTTGCTGTGGGCATAATTTTTCAAGCTTTGCACAAGGGAAGCATCACTGTTTAGATAGCCTTTTATGCAACACTAACAAGGACTACATGCAGGAAAGCATGGAGAGCAGGCCTCGCAATACAAAAGCATCAGCCACTGAAAGAAATACAAATTAATGACACTGTTTTGATAGAGATCTCCCATTGGAAGAACAAAAAAACCTCACAGCTACAACTGGACTTTCCCAGATCAGAGGAACTAGTATGTGTGACTCAACTAAACTACATTTGAGGTTTGCACATTTTTGTTGTCAGTTGAGTTTTACCAGTTGTTTTGGGTTTGTTTGCCATGGCAGCGAGATATTTATAGGTCACAAGGTAATTTGGATGATCATTGAGTTAGATTAAAAACTCCCTCAAGACACTACATTTATCAAAGGGAATATGTTCTGTGCATTGTCCCTATCCAGTACACACTTCCTCAGATTAATCCACAACCCCAGAACACTGAGGTATGGTAACAAATCAAGACTGTCCTACCCACAAACATGCCTTGTTCGCTGGCATAAATTAGCCTGCACCTGCTGTAAGCCCAAGATTGTCACTTCATACAGCAGAGAGAACACACAGAAGTGCAAAACACGTATAAACTCCATTGATAAATATACATTATAGGAAACTACAGCTGGCTTAAAAGCAAACTGTTTAATTCCAAGAAAATCCTGGTATCAAATAATACATTTGATTGAAACCTGGCTATTTTTATTCTTTGTGCATGGATGAATTCATTAATGAAAAACAAACCAATTTAAAACAGATTCATATTTGGCTTGCACGTATTCAGAGTGCCCCTGCATGGGTGCAATTAAATCTGGTTTAAAATATGATGTTTTTAACATTTTAATGTAAAATGCCAATTCAATTAGTAATTTCCCTATAGAATACCATATTTTTAGCTAAAAAAAAAAAAAAAAAAAAGAGAAAGCTTTACAAAAAAAAACATGCATAATATGTTAAGTAGTCCAGAAATTACAGTATCTAATTTCCCAGGGCTTGTTTTTTAATTATATACAGAAAAATTAAAGAACATGATCTAAAATTCTAAGTAGCTGAGACTAGAAAATAAAAATTCTGGTAGCTGAAATATGAAAGAAATATTTCAGCCTACAGAAGACCATATGAAAGAAAATCTTTTAAGCGCGCAGAATGAATAATTATGGATGTTTGAAGACATCTCCATTATAGGCATTGGGGAAAAGTGTCTGGCCCAGTGAGCTATCTCAACAGTATCCTCTACACATTCTAATCTGACTGTATGACAGGAATGTTTTTAGCAGAACAAAGTTACAAAGCTGGCTCTCAGACCTTTGCAGCAGTTTTTAGCAGTACAGAAATGTCATTGTCATTGAGAAAACGAAGGCTTCTTGTCCCAAAAGGCTGAATATGCCACCTTGAGGAATTGTAACTCTTAGGMAAAGTGCAAGGACTTAGGAAGTTTGTTAATCCATTAAAAATATCACAGTTGTGAACAGTCTAGTAACCAGAATTTTTTCCACAAGTATTTTTAAATGAAAATGAAGACCCAGTGAGAAAAGTGGTGGTATAATAATAGCATCTTATTCAGTAGCTACATAAGGTTTTATATCTGGTTGGTTTATCACTTGCTCCTGCTTTTACTTCTATTAGTAATGCACAATGGATGCAGCCAGAGAAGGGTGAGGTAAATTCTATTATAACCTCTGCTCTTAAAGAAGAATCTAACAGTAGTGATGGCAAAGACAAGACGTGATTCTTGCATACAAAATCAGCTCAGAGTTTATGGATAAGCACCTGTAAAATAATGACAGACTTGAATGCTGAAGTAACCGAGATACTTTTAAAGCTGAATGCTGAAGGGTTTTTTWAAGCCAATAACTATACTTTCAGCAGTATTTCCTGCAGACAAGAAAGCATTCTTTCAAGCTTCATGTCAAAATTAAGACCATTTTAAAACCTTTTTCCTGCACTTTGGACTGGGGTGTAAATGTAAGTGTGACAAGGTGATTCAGCACACTATCTTGCACGAGACACAGGAGTAAACGATCATGCTTGGAAAAGAATCAAAGTTCTGCTTGATGAACTTCTGACATACCACTCTGTAATTACATAATTGTTTCGTTTCTGAAACATCACATGCTTTAGCCACACCAAATCCCTCCAGCAAAAGAGTAGTCTCCCACAAAAAAACTAAACCTGTAAACATGACTATTCAACTGGTTCATAGAGCTGAATGTATAATAATAACAGCTCTACTTCCTGCCAGAAAGCAGCAAGAACTAATGAACAAAACACACAAACAGGGGTGCAGGTCTCCTGAGCTTGAAAGGGAAAATAAAACAGGCACCCAAGAAAAGTCCTTTTGTCTTGAATTATTAACAGTTAGATTTACATGACTGATACTTTATAAATATAGCTTTGCAATTCTATGTCCAACCATTCCAATTCAGATGCAGGTTTAGATTCTTTCAGTTTCTCCTCTGATTATATTCTGAAATAACACTTTTCTCAGCTCTTTACAAAAGACCAGATCATCACGAAATTTAGCAGATCACCTAAGGAGAAAATGTCAAATTGATTTGCTTAAATCAAGACAACTCTCTGTGGGGCCAAATGCCAGGATGTCATCCTATACAAAGGTGAAAATTTGGTCCTCAAACTTCCAATGAGCAAATACTCAGCTTCTCACCTCTGCTCTGAATTTATTCYCTGAAACCTGAGGGAGATGTAGGAAAAAAGGAAGTGTGTAACTTTCACACATACACTTCAGCTGTGTGCCCAATGAGACGCAGGAAAAASAGAGATAGGACAGCAGAGGCAATGCAATCACTTAATTTTTAAGAGGACTTTATAGCAAAGAAAGAACAAGTATCTCATATACTCCACATGYGCATTTTTAAAGGTCACTGACATCATATTAAATGTTCTTCTAATAAAGAAATAAACCTGAGTAACCATGATTTGAGAAAAAAGAAAAAATGTGCATAACTAGAGTCTGCAAAATATGATCTTCTACTTAAAACACATAATTTTGAAGAATAACGCAAAGTCAGCCTTACCCATGAGTGTTGCCAGAAGACAGAGTGAATACATTTCCTTGTCAACTTGTTCTTGCAGATCCTTCGATGAGATCTTACTGGTCACAGCAACGTCTTCGTGCTTCACAGCATGGGCTGAGTGTGCTGAGGCAGCCTGTCTGCCTTCCTCCTTGCCCTTCAGGATTTCTATGGCAATTCTGTCACCATGCTGCAAAGGAACTGGCTCATTTTCCATGCCTTCTTTGGGAGGCAGAAGCTCTTTYGGAGGAAAGCCGTAGCGAATACATTGCAAATATGGGGGAATATTAAATTCTCTCGCTATGCCCTCCTGTAGCTCCAAGAAGGTGGTAGTGCACTTCAATGTAAGCATTGACTGTCTCCCATCATTGGTGGTTATTCGAATTTTCTTTTCTTTTGCAGATGTTGGAGAATAYGGGGTTTTGGTTGGTGTAGCAGGTGCAGACGAGGGCCCTTCCCGAACAGCCCCAGGAGAAGCAGTCCTGGGTTGCCCTTTATGTTCCTGTTTCAATTTTTCACTTTTCCGTTTCTGCATTACAGAAGCTTGGTCCGCAATGTTCTGCTGAATAGTTCTTTCAGCTTTGCTCATATTCAATTCCTCTTTGTGCAAAGTTTTAGTCTTCTGCCCAGTCAAAATGATTTTGGTTGGAAGTTGCGACTCTAACTCCTGTCCTTGCTGTACATCATCAGCTCTTTGGGCATGAGCACCATCGATGTTTACAGGGGTATAATCATCAGGGTTCTTTTTGGCAGTTTGGTGCAGTATTGTGTTGACAACTTTCTGAACAAGAATCTCGCTACCAAATTCACCAGGGAAATGCTTAGTAACAAGTTTCATRGCGACATCATACACGTTGCTGTTCAAAGAGGTGTCACTTTCATACTGGAACCAGTAGACAGTCTCTCTCACCACTCTTCCACCCCACTCTAGAGTTATAGGGAAAGCTTCAGGCAGATTGTCATATTCTTTACCTTCCCAGTAGTGCTTGAATCCACAACCACATTTGCCACCTGTAGACCTAGTATTAGTTCTGTCTCCATCAATATACAAAACAGACCCATCTTCTCTGACACGACGCATTAAGTTACCGTGGCACCAGTTACAAACAGTCAAGTTGCTTAGCCCATAGTCTGGTACCAGCACATCCTTCACRGGGTTGTAAGAACACACCAAACTGTTTAGGGGAAAACTGTAATTTTTGTCAGGCCTTAGCTGGCCATGGGTACTTTTTGCCAGGTTATACAGCTTCCCCCCAGGAGCCAGCCACTCTGGGGGAACGTGATGCTCTGAAAGAGCCCCACAGATGAGGCACCTGTGAAGGCGGTTGTCCATCACTGCTTTTTTGGCAGCTGCAGTGACCTCTTCGGGCTGGACCCCTATTACACCAGTCCTTCTGTAGAAATACTGATGCACATCAGCTACAAGACTGGGATGGATACCGTGTTTACTCATGAAAACCTCCTCCATTGCAGCAACAAGCCTCATCAAGTACTTATCCTGCAAACTTCTGTCTCCTCCAATAATACAACCACCATCGTCCTCTAACATGATGTACTTTTTGATGAGGTCTTGAGGAACTCCCCAGGCTTTAGGAAGTAGCTTCCTAGGCAGCTTAGGTAAAGCAGCACCTTTTATTCCAACCAGAGGAATATAATGGTTACGTCCTGAGCTACTCCATGCAATACAGATCGGCTTGTTCAACATGCCATCTTTTCCCATGCACTTTTCCAGAGGTATTAGACCAGGAAGGAACGTTGCTGAATAATCTCCAGAGCTTCGCATTCCACTCAGGGAGTCTAAMAGGATGATAGGCCGGTGAAGCACATTGGCCAGACCAAAGATGTGAATATTCCTAAGGCCCATTGGCACACCTTCTGGAGGAACAAACAAAGGGTCACATTCATTGATAATGTCCTCCCACTCTGCAGCATCAATAAAGTCATGGAAAAGCGCCTTGTAGTGGCTTAGATTCTCCTCAAAATGCTTCTTTAGATTCTCTCGGAGAGCATGCCAGAACAGTTCCCTGCCAACAAGTGCTCGTGAGACTGCATGGACAAGGCAGTGGCCATCTCCATCCACGTGGACAGGAATGAGGCACTCTTGACTGTTGTTGGCCTTCTTGATGTCCTCCAGGGTGTCGTGCAGGTAGATGAGGCTGCCGGAGCGGTCCTTCCCGTAACCCATGGTTTCGACGTGCTCTGGCTCGATAAGGAAGGCACGGTCGCCCAGGAGGGAGCAATCAAAGATGTCTCCCTGGTTCATCTCCGTAAGGAGCTTGGCTTTGCCAGTCTGCTTGTCCATCCCGTAGCGGGCCAGGATGGGGGCCAGGAGCTTGCAGTGATAGTTGGAGAGACCATTGACTTTGACGAGCTCGGTGTTCCTGCGGGGCGGGCCGGCGCCGCTGACGCCCAGCAGCGCATTCCGCAGCAGGTTGTGCAGCACCAGGTCGGGGTCCGTCACCTCCTCCACGGCCAGCAGCTGCCGCTGCTCGTGGCGCCGCCCGCAGTCCGTGCACTCGATGCTGCCGCTGCCCTGCGGCCCGTGCGCCGGAAAGAACAGCCGCGCCTGGCATTTGGGGTCGGGGCAGGTGCCCGAGAAGATGCGCCGGTCTCGCTTCTTGGAGGCGGACGGAGGCGGCGGCTGCGGCTGCTGCTGAGGGGACGGCGGCGGCGGCTGCTGGGGCTGGGACATCGCTCCGCTCCGCCCGGGCTTCACCCGCACCCGCTCCTCCGCCGCCCTCACAGGCGCATTCCCTGCGCGCCGGACAACGACCACCGCCTCTCAGACGCCGCCGGTGCCGCCCGTGCGGTACCGAGCGCCGCCCGCCGCCCGCCGCCCCCCGCCCGACGCGGAAGCCGCCGCCGCTCTCACCGCCCCTCGGCCGCCTCAGTGCCCGCAGCGCCGCGGCCTCGCGCACTTCCACACCGGCGGCGCACGCGCGGCGCCGCAGGGGCGGACGGGAGTAGTAGTTCGGTCCGCCGCTAGGCTCGGCGTGGAGAAGGGAGCCGAGGGCCTGGCAAAGACTACAGGGACCGTGATGCCATGCAGGGGAGAGAGGGAGGGCGGGGGAGGGTGGGGGAAGGCCGAGCCCCCGCGAGGTTGCTGGGAAGTGTAGTCCGAGGGCGGGTGGGCCGGGAGGGACGCGTAGGGCGCTCGGCGGCGCTTGTTGCGCTTCCTGCGGGAGCGCTGTGGGTAGGAATAGGGTCTGAGGTGACACCTCGCRTGTGCATTCCTGCTCCGTCCCGCTCGGGTGTTGGTCTGAGGTGACATCCCATGTGTACATTCCCCCTCTGTGCCCTCGGGTGCTGGTTTGAGGTGACACTCCAAGTATATCCCTCCACTGCCCCCCTCGGGGRTGGGTCTAAGGTGACACCTCACGTGTACATCCCTCCTCTGCCACCTCGCCCCAGCTCGCTCAYGCCCCGCAGGAGCACCGAGGCGAGGCTACCTCCCGTGTCACCTGTCCCCCTGAACAAGCTCCGGGGGCGGGAGGCTACTCAGCTTCAACAGGTTGCTGCCGGCAAGGGGCTGACAGAAAGGGACAGGGCGGGGCGGGCCCCSGCCTTCCTCTCAGCAGTGCCGCTACAGGGTGGTGTGAGTGCCTGGGCGTGCCCCCGAGGGCTTCCTGGGCACGGAGGTTTCCAAAAGCACGGCAAGCAGCGTGTCCTTCCCGGCAGCGACYCCTGCCAGCCAGCATTCCCCTCCGGCGGCGGCACACGGGCTCTGACCCCAACCTCTGCCCCGACGCCACCGCAGCCAGGCCTGGCGCCGGCGGCTGGGCTGTGCCTGCCCTTTGAGCTCGCCGGGGTTTCTGGAGCTCAGCACACCCTCGTCGGGGTTTCGATTCCCGAGAAGCCGCGTCCGGGAGGTGAGCTATCTGAGCGGAGGTGTTCCCCGGCTGCCGGCTGCTGATAGCGACAAAACAAGGCGCAAGGAGACGCGAGAGCAAGCTGTTAACACGAGTGCTCCCTCCAGCTGGTGCTACGTAAGGCGATAGTGAGGGAACGGAGMTGGCGCTTACGTTATCTCCAGTGGCCGTCTGAAATTGTACTTTTGCCAAAATGTAATGGAATAATGTTCACAACTTCCAGCCTAATTACACTGGGCTGGCAGCGTATTCATGTGGAAAGCTCAAGAAGGGATACTGTCAGCAAACGGGGGAGTTAAGTTCTCTGAAAGCTATTCAGATAGAGATTTATCCTTAAATTAAGGAAAATAAAAGCTGTATTTTGGAGGACAAGGTGGTACCTCACTAGATAATACCAAGTACCRGTGACCTACCCCTAGCGACACAAGGGCAGAAAAAATTACTGCTTCCTTCCTCCTCCATCGTCCTTGTTCTACCAAACAAACATCTGGAATTTACATCCCAAGGCCTCACCTATTCTATAGACACTTAAATGATCTAAAATTCGAATAAAAATCATAGGGATTGTATCATAGAGATAGTGCTGTGCTCGTACTTTCCAATACAAAGAGCATGTTTCATTTTCATTAATCCATTAAAAGTAATTTATGCATCTGACATTTAAACTAAAAGATTCAGATGATTAATACATACAGAAAAAAAAAATCTGTTTCTGTGCTTTATCACAGGCTTAAGGAAAAAAATGGCTCCGGGCCTGGCCCTGTGACAGACTGAGCACTGCCACCTTTCAGTGACAGCAGCTGAGCTGTGCATGCTCATTCCCTTTCAGTTTCAGTAATTTGTCAAGCCCAGAAAATGTGTGYGTGTGTGTGTGTGTGTGTGTGTGTGTGTTTAAATGGATGTGTTCCACAGAGTAATCTTTTATCTGATCTTGCAAAATGTGGCAGGTTTAAAGAGGAAAAGGTGAAAATTATGAGACAGATTTTCATTCTTGCCTGCTACTAATACTTTTTTGTGTGTATGACAGTAAGGTAGCAGCATCACCAGCTCCATAATCCTGCCAATGTGCCTTGTACTTGGGGATAAATCAGCGGTCTGTGCCCATTCATTCCTTAGTCTCCCCTTCATAAGTAGCGGGAACGCAGTAAAAATGCAAATAGGGAAGCCTCTGTCCTCTGTGAAACTGTGTGGCAGCTACTGAGAATGGGCACCATTCAGGGCATCGGCYGGTGACAATCCTGTGCTAACCCGGCCTGCATTTAGAAGAAACRTCAAATAATTTTTCTGTAACATCACTGGCCTCTAGAGCAATCCAATTTTTCACATATGAGAAATAAACACTTCTGTTATTGTTTAATAGTACTTTGTAGTCAATAATAGGGAGCACCCTGGTGAAGTAATTCTTGGACTGTCAAAGCTGATGGAACTTTTGATGTTTTGTTTACTTTTCCAGCCAGATGTTTTTATGAAAGCACTCTGACTGTAAAGTCAAAACCATTTCTGCTTTCTATTCCCTACATTAATTTCACTGATAAATTGTATTCAATAGAGAAATCTATCTTTCATGGCACCTTGACCCTAATTAACACAGATGTTTTTGATGAATGACATTTGTAAGTTTTCTAGCTAAATGCAGACTCATGATCATGATTGATTGCCCAAKCAATTTCACAACAATAAACTTTCATTACAGAATCTTTGATAAAAATCACCATTCTCTGGCAAGCTAATAATTTATGCAAATTAAATGCATCTTTATTTACAAGCTTTATACACTGCATCTGGCAAACAGGATAAGGAAGTTCTGTGTTGTATCACTGAATGCAGATTATACAAGTAACTAAATCTTTAGGCAGTCTTAAAGGAAAATTCAGGAAATACAGTGTCTGCCTTGTTAGTAAGTACCCTGCAGAGTGTAGCAATGAGTCCTGCCAGAGATCACAGCAAGAACCATGCTATTTTTACAGGCAAACAACAACATCACAGTCAAGAAAGTAGGATTGAAGATCACACTGATGACAAAGTTAAATCTGTTTGTAATGGGTCAGAAGAGTGATTAATTGTCAGCAAGAGTACATACCTGAACCCGTGCCACTTTGTTGATGAGAACCAAGCACTGAGTCAAGATACCAGACACTCATTTCAGGCCCAGGATAGAAGATGTAAAAMTTTTAGTTTAATCTTCACCCAGTGCTAGTCCCTTTCTTCTTCGTCATTTACCCTTAGGAAATGGGTCATTCCCAGGTCAAAGCAATTATTTTTCAGAGGCACTTGTTTCTTTGGAAGAGCAATGACAGAAGTTTCCAGCTAAAYAGAAACAAAAGGCTTGTGCAGCGTGCCAAAGAACATACCATGATAAACTAGAAGATGATCTACRTTCTCAAGAAGTGAAAGTTACTATCAGAGTCAGCTACACCTCAGCATGCTCCTCAGAAAGGATGATGAAAATCTGGTGTTTTCTTCAGTGATACCCTTGCAGATCTTATCTTGCCTAGCCTGTAAGATTGGTAGTTTAGCGTGACCTGGCCCTGAAAGTTCTCTACATTTACATTCAAGAAAAGACGACAGAGAAAACAGAAGTGTGAGCTAGAGGGAAGATAGCAATCTCATCACACCCCACAACGAATGCAACATTTTTATATTTAGATGTGATACATTTAAAAAGCATGTGTAGACCCACAACTGTAGACCACAACGATTAAGTATTATTAGTAGTACCAGCTACAAGRAGTCCACTGCACAGGGCAGCTTCGAGTGTTGTGTGGCCTCTTTAATTCTTGTTCCTGTTAAGCCAATTTGGTGCTTACTTCCAGACTGCTGCTGAACTACATCTCTTGTTTTGTTCRTGACTTAGCAGGCGTTGTTAAAAGCCCAAGCACTCACTACCACGCTAACTGCAGTATTCCAGAATGGTGTTGGTCATAGGCCTCCTCATTTCCTGGTCCTCGGAGGCAGCACGCAGCCCAGCAGTGTTCTGGAAGGACAGGAATGACCACTGAGCAACTTCAGTTTTCATGCACCTTTGGGTTAATTAATAGTTAGTCAATGGCAATTAGAAAAAAGCACGTGGCTTATCCTGGGGACCTGGACTGGTAACTCTCATCCTGGATACCTCCAACTGAATAACTTCCGTATCCCTCTTCTACTKCCTTCCAATGATCTCCAGAATTAAAAAATGTTTTCATTCAGTGCTTTCACAGAGTCAGAACTTGAACTGCTGCCATTGCACCAGGTTCAGCAATTCACACYGCTAATAGATGCTCTCTGTTAACACTGATATCATTCCTGCATGACACCAAATCTGGACTGCTAAAAATGTGTTAGCAAAACATGAATGCATTAAGAAAACAACATGAAAAATGAACTACTGGGCAGAGGTTCCAGTACTAATTACAACSATCCAAATAACCTTCTCCAAGGCTTTGCTTCAGCAAAATCAATGTTCCCAATGTTTGCTCAGGTACAGCCTCATCCAGTAAGAACAGCTCTAGAGCTGACTCTCATGCTGGGTCAATCTCCACATCCAAGACAAACTGCTCAACACTGGTTTGGGTTTGTTTACCTATGCTTTTATTTCTTGGCTCAAAATCTGTTTCTGAGGCCTTACCTTGAAAATATTTTAAATTGATTTGACATGCAAACTCCTCTGCAAAGTTAAAGGCCCCACATTTTTTAACTCTGAATATCTGTTTGCAAAYTGATGTCAGCACAACTGGCAAACAAAACTGGTTCATCAGGACTGTCARTGTTCAGGAACTGTCAATAGAAAATCAATCTTTAGGGCAGTAGACCGTTACAAAAAAAAAGGAGAATGTGAGTGTTATTAGCTTAGATGTGTAACCTGATTATATGGAAGCCTCAATGGCAATTACTGTGAATGTTTATCTGCTTTCCATAGTGCTCTGTCAAATACAAATTGAACAAATGGTACAATCCCATTACACTAAAAGATAAATGCCTCAAAATAAAATAGGTTGAGCAACTAGCACCATCACTGCCCTATTGATTT